TCGGTGAGCTTCGGTGTGTGGCCCCATTTAAAATCACTTTGCGGCTTCGCCCTCGCCTCGTGTTATGCATAAATAAACGGTGTGTGATGTGGCGGAGGTTAACTCCATTGGCTCCTTTGCAGGACGCACTTGCATCCCGTCATTTGCTTATCCTTCTGGACCGACTCACAACGTTGATTGATGGCAACTTTTGGCGCTCGCCAAAGACTAAGTGGCCTGATGTTTTCCTGCCCTGAATAACTTTATTGCCCTGGCTGGTGCTAAGTTATGACGTGTTAATAATGGCGCATAAACACACCAAATTGTGGGCGTCACCTGGCTGAATTTAAATGAAGGATGCGATGGCCGAAAGTTGAGTCATTAGCGGAGCCGAAGGCTGTGTTACTGAGCGATGAATGGCGGATTTTGTTGGGATCAATCAATCAAAAATACCTGTTGTATTCTTATTTTTGTTTATTTTAAATTTCAAATCCACAACGAAAGAACTCAGTGTTATAAATTCCTTTAAAAATTAAGTGCTAAAAAAAATATAAAAAAATGAAGAAGGGTAACTCTAAAAAAAGTAGTGTTAAGTAATGTGTGGACTAGCGACAGCAAGCAGCGAAAGCGACAAGAAATAAAAATTAAAATCTGAGTGTTATTTTTGGTCGTTCGATCTGGATACTAATCTATAGCCACAGGTAAACCCCCAACAATACCTATGTATATACTTAAGAATATATGGTATATTTAATTTTTGATTTATTTATCAAACATAGGGAAATGATTACAAATAAATTGAAGAGGTCTTTTAATCGTAATTTTATTAGGAACGAGTAAAATTTTAACTAAAACATTTCAGTAGCTACATTTTTTAGCATATTAAGACTAAATATATACTTGAACAGCAAAATAGGATAATTTTTAGATAGATTTTGTTGGTAGGTATCAATATTAATATTACTCTCACATATTGTAGTTATTTTTTTAAGCTTGCTTGGATGTGGGGTTCTTCAGTTTTCAGAGTCAAAAGTTGAAGGCAATTTCCATAATATTTTTCCCATTGCTATTTTTCTGAACTTGTGGCGAAGTAAATTCCTCAGTTGATGCTCACATGGAAAGAATTCCAACTAGCCGGTCCACGCCCACCAGTTCTGCCCCCTTTTCGTGGGCCTGTACAGTGAAGATCAGCGATGCATTTCCCACTGATCGGCGATCAATGGCGAAGCTCTCGTGCCGTTCGGGGCTATCAAAATATTTTAATCGCGGATTTTTGTGGATGTCGGTTCATTGAGGCTGCCAAGAAGTTGTGAAGATTTATGAACATAATAATTACAAATTTGCTAATTGATTTATTGTCGAGTGTATAAACACCTTTCGCTTAATTTATGCCGCTGCCGTCTGAGCGGGATGGGGATGGGGATGTGGATGGGGATGGGCTTGTGTTTCTTTTGTATTTTCTTTAAATACCAGTTTGGAGTCAAAGAATTTATGCACTGGAGGAGCAACCTGTGAGCCAAAGCAATCAGGCCGAGCATCGAACATCGAGCATTGGGCGCGCTTTTCGGGATGGGATGATGTACGACGAATGTCCTGCCACAGTCACACACATGCACACATACACACATACACATACGGATGCCGGTGCAAACCGTTCATTATAAAGGAGTCAGGTCGTCAGGTGAGCCGAGCGAGCGAGACCGACAACCGCAGGCAATCACTGGCAACAGGCAACGCAAATTAATTATTAATCAACGGAGTGAGCCGATCCGAGCCAGCTCTTCGGAGGAAGCAGCTGAAGGAGGAGGACTCCGACGCCCCGTTCCCGCTGCTCGATCTGCGATCCTCGAGCCGCGAGAGTGATTTATGCTCGCGAGCCCCCGCTCCCAGAGCTAACGAATCTCAGGCCCTGGCCCAAACCCAAACCCAAACTCAAAGCCAAGCCAATGCCCATGCCCAAAACCCAGGCCCAACTGACAATGTTCCTGCCAAGATGGACGATGCCGATGATGACGACGGCGATGGAGATGAAGACTAAGGCCCAGACGGAGACGAAGACGAAGGCCAATGCAATCAAGCCAGGCCAACACTCAGCGGAGAATCGCACATAAGGTCACGCACTCAAGGAAAAATAATGGAACTTGATAATGAATCAGTTGTTAATAAGATTTTATATTCTGGTATTACTAGAAGAGAACATAAGGTAAGATAAAAGGTATCACTTTGTAAGCTAGAAAGTTTTGTTAAACTTATAACTCGATATTGCAATTCCCCATGTTTATAGCTGACTTATATAGGTTTAAACTGAATATTGAAGTATTTGACATTCTTCTTATTCACTGTGGTTTGTGGAATTTATAGATTCGATTTTATACTTATTGTTTAGGCAGATGGAATCGGCTTGCGAACTTCACTCTCTAATTACTTAAATAACTGAATGGTTTAAATAATTTAAGAAAAAGCTAATTAGTGGGGTTCCGTCCCACATGCACAGCAATATTAAAACTAATGATACTAATAAAAAATAATTTTCTTATTTTTATCTTGATTGCTTGTAACATTTTTTTATTGGTTTTCGCGGAAACACATTTGTGTAGGGTTTATAATAACCACCGGATATGCTAACATTTTTCACTGGCTATGAGACCTGTTTTCTGGCTTCCAGCGAGATGCGGCCGCCGCTCTTTGGGGCCTTTTGGTTCCACCCATATCAGTCAGCCCCCAAGTACGTCAGTCAGTCAGCGAATGCGAGCCAACGAATGTTGTCCGTTTGTCCGGGAGGCTGTCCGTCCGTCCGTCCTTCTGTCCGTTTGTCCGCTTGTCTGTCCACTGCACATGCAATGGCCCTGGTATCGCCTCCTGGGACTCTCAGTTCTCGGCGGGATGGAATCGGCATGCGATACCAGAGAGTTGGACAGCGGATTGGGGAGGTCGGGGGATGGGGAGTCGGAGCTGCAGTGTAGACACCCGGCGAATCAGAAATGCCAGAATTGAAATCGCATTTTAAATCATCTCTCAGTGGAGCTGCTCCTTCTTCGGCCTCCTCGTCCACATGATTCACAGTCACAATCGCCTCAAATCTCGAATAACAAATCGCATAATTACGGGGCAGCGGCTGTCCATTGCCTGCCCTCTCCCTCTCTCTTTCTCTAGCGATCAGTGCATCCCGCTCTAGTCTTCTGCCTGGCAGCCAAAAGAAGACGAAGGAGCAGAAGACTCGAGATGGCGATGCAGTGCAGATATGAAATATTTTAGCTAAATGGCAGCCAAAGAAATAAAAATGTGGGATTGAAGCGTATAAATCAGCGGGCACTCGCTCCCTCTCCCTCTTGAGCCCTCTCCCCGTCTCTTTCGCTCCTCTGGAGGCTTCATTAATATGGGGATGTGTGTATGTGAAGCATAAAATCAACCTGAGGCGATAAATTGAAACGATTTTTGCACTGAACACGCAATTAGTTCTCCTCTAGTCCCGTCCTAACCCTCTTACCCAAACTCACATCTAGAGATTGAAAGAAGAATCTGAAATAAAAATGATTCCAATGACATCTGAGAAATTGTTTTGATTTCGCTGTACAAAATGAGTGGTTCTGATTCAGCGCCTGTCCCCTTTTCGATCCAACAAACTGATGGCTAATGACACAGGAAATGTGTGCAATCTTATCAAGATTGTGCCCCTAGGAACGTGTCCAAAGATAGTTGCCTTCGTAGATTAAAATTATGCCAGATTAATTTATCGATAATTATAGATTTTCCCCAACCAGTTTGGATCCCTCCTTGTAATACAAAAGAGATCCTGATAAGGACAACAAGTGTTTAGCACATTATACATACAGGTTGCGTGCTAAAGTGGTTCTAATAGTTTTACAATAATGATAGCGGAAGCTTAAATACCCTTGCAGTGTGAACTTAAGTGTAGAACCGACAACAGAAATCTATATTTCCGTTTTAAAATCAAAACAAACAACACCTGACTTAAACCGGTTAATGGTGTTAACGCAATGTAAGTGCTACTTTGAAATAATCGGTTAAATGGTTATATCGATAGGCAAGTCATTTAGTTCCTTTCTGTCATAATAGTTGAAATAATGTAATGTAATGTACAAGCTTTTATGGGTGATTCTAATATAGGTGGGGATATAAATTTCAAACGGATTAACTTTTTCTAAGATCCGGATCTTCCCTTCAAGGAAGTGAAATGTTATGTTAGGATTTTGGATGAATATTCGCAGATGTTTACAACTTATATATAGCACTGTTAATAATAATATATTGTTAAAACGTCGTTACAATAATTTCACGTATTTCTGTTTTATCTCATATAATATTATTTATTTTTTATATTTACATTTAAATATATTTATCATATTTGAAAAGAAATCTGTACGATAAATTCGTTGACTAAATTTATAGCATTTTAGCCTTATAGCTTTAAACTGAGAGTAAGTAATCTTTATAAGAAGAAGGAACACAATAAGGGATATAAATAAATGATTTTTCACAAGTCAACTTTATTGTTAAAACTAAATTTATTTTAATATTTTCTTCAAATGTATTTCCGGGAGTTGTTTAAAAGCGAAGTTTCAATACCTGAAATTGTTAATGGTGTGTGAAGCGTTCTCTTTTAATATTTCTGTTCATTTATTGAAACAAGTTATTCTCTTTTTGACCAAGAAGGTAAAAAAGTTTATAATGATAAATATAATAGATAATAGATAATAGTCATTCTGGGTACAAAAAATCAAATCGGAAACGAATTCTTTAAATTACTGAAATATTTTTTTTAAATAAATTTGTGTTCAACTAATACGTATAATTAACGAAATGTATTCCTTAACTTTATAAGAATGTTAATATTCGTTTAACTTTTATATTTATACCTACACTTAAGTTTTAAATTTCTCTCAAATGAAATCGTCGAAAAGGTTATAGCTCAAAAAGCACTCAAAATTCGAACATTTCTCTCTCACTTGCAACCGAGCTCGAATTTCGAACTTGTGCGAGAGAAGCATCGCGTCGCGTTGCCGTATGGTTGCTTGTGAAAAGTGCGCTGTGAAATAATAAGTATTATTTAACAATTATATTTAAATTTAAACGTAACAAAACATTAAAAGTGTTGAACACAAGTGCCCAAGATTCACTTCACTCGAAAGTACTCAGGTGTATTAGGTCCGCATTACAATTTTCTATTACTTGCTTAGGTAAGTGAACAAAACACATTATTTACAAAAGGATCTATCATAATACATATATTTTCCCTTAAAGTTAAATAACGTTTTAATTATAATTGTACCCTATTCTACAAATAACCTTATTTGGTTGTATTTATTAGTTTAACTTAGATTTGTTGCATAGTCTGGTTGCATGCCAATCGAAATCAGCTGTTTGATTGTTGCCGAACCCAGGGACGTAGGCACCAGAGTGAAGGGCAAAATCGGAAAATTGACTTATTAAAATTTTCAAAAATTATAGGTATCTATCTGACTATTATTTATTTACTTAACATAAGAACATTTTTTAATAATCTATAACATTTTTTATAAGGAATATCCATAAACTATACATCTTACGCACATATTTGCAACCCCCATCCGAAAGCCACTGCTCACAGCGTGTTTTAAAAGTTCGAAAACTGAGAGAGAGCGCGAGAGCCTACACCGGTTTACGCTCTCGAGCATTTGAGTTATTTCGAAAGTTGGTTGAGTAAATTCGAATTAAACGAGTCAATGAAGAAATGTATGTATGACCGTTAAAGATTTAAAAACGAATCGAAAAATACTTGTGAGCGCGTAAACACTGTTACAATGAATTTCAGAATGGCTTTAATGATGTATTTTCGTAATAAAAAACTGCATAACTTTCTTTTGCCAGAAGGATTGAAATTGTTTATGTTTATTTGTCTGTTTTTGGTAATATCCATATAAAAATTGATGTTTTTGTAAATTTAGACCTACTTACATATGTACATACATGTGCCATTTATAAAATTATTCAAAAACACTTGTATTTTATTCTATAATTTGGCATTTTGGTTCTTTAAAAACTCTAATTAATTTGTATGTGTTAATTTGTCAAAATGTATGGAATAAATAACGATTTATAGAAACTACCATTTTTTACGACTATAAGCCTATTAAAAAAAATATAAATAATTTAACATAAGGGCTAAACATCATCCAATCTATAACAATTTTTATATTAATTTTTTGTATGCCAGCTAAAGAGTCGTCCGATTTCCATAAAACCTAATTTAAAATTCCATAGTGTATATTCAAAAAATTTGCTTGTATCATGAATACAGATTTTTCGATATTCCTTATGGAAGCTATATGATTATGTAGCTCGATATTATTATACATTTTTTTAATTCAATCGTTGTTAAGAACTATTCTAAAACTCATGTTTGTATAAACAAAGTTGTTTATTTTTTCATCATTATTTCATGAACTCGAATATTTTTTTGCCAGCTATATATTTAACCCGATATTAATATATTTTTTTTAATTAATCGTTGTTAGAAACTCGAAATTCTAAAAATCATGTTTGTATAAACAAATTTATTATTTTTTCATTATTATTTCATGAATTCTAATTTGAAATTCAAGAGTCTTAAAAACACCGCCTGGAACAAATCATGTCAATATGATAAAACCAACGGCTTAATATTTGTTTCGTTCACTTCTATGGGAGCTATCCTATATAGTCGTCCGATTCCAATTGTGATGCTAATCAAGAATATAGGTATATGCCTTCTGGGGTCTTAGGTATCTCCTTTAAGGGGAGGGTAAGGTCAAATCATGCGAAAAAAGCCATGTTTTTGAGATTTTTTTCCTGACGACATAGTTAAAATTTATTTATTCAACCAACGGTATATTAAGGTATGACATTAGAAGAATGTTTTACCAAATTTTTACAAAAAAATATTAAAAAATGTGGCAATGGTAGCAATTGTCCGGACGTGTCGCCAAAAAAAGTTGAATTGCGGTGCCCCTCATAACTCGGTGCTGGATCATCCGAAATCAAAAAATGAAAATTCATTCGTTAGATAATAGTTCGCCCCAGGTAACGCTGTAAAGTTTTTTTGAAAATTGCAATTTTTTAATTTTTTGGAAGATTTTGAAGTGAAAAACACAATTTTTTGGGAAAAAATCGGTAATTTTTTCATTGCAAAATCAAAATTATGAACAAAAAAAAAAAAAACTCGACAGCGTTACCTCGTAAAATATGTACAGAAATAGTATTTAAAATTTCAAAAGGATCGGTGCAGTAGTTTTGAAGTTATTAGGGGCACCGACTTTGAAAATAGCGTGTTCGGCAAAATCGATTCAAAGTATTTTTATACGTGAAAATACGCCCAAATACGGTTGTTTAAAACGCTGTAACTCCGTTAGTTTGACTTTAATTGACTCAAAATTTTTACACAATGTTCTCGACATATTAATCATTCAGAAAAAAATAAAAAAAAAAATATTAAAAAAAAATTTTTAAAACCTTACCCTCCCCTTAATGCATTGCAAACATCTGACTGAAATCATAATACCCTCTATCAGGGTGTAAAAATAAATATTTAGCTCGTTCATAAGAAGCCATGAAACTAAAAAATTAGTCAATTAAGATATATACAAGTATACGATATATAAATTTCCTTCTCATTTATAGGAACGCAAATGGTAATTTGTAGTTTTAGAACAATCCAAAATGTGAATTTGTATTTTTACATGTTTTTGTTGTTCAGATTCTGTGACTTCTGCCTTTCGGGGAGGAGTGTAGATTCTTTCAACTCGAGCGCAAGACTGTTTGGGAACCAAAGAGAACGGAAAGGAAAACAAAAATTTGTGTTCCCTGTCTCGCTCGCTCCTCGTTCTCCATCTGAGTGTCAATCAATCACCTGTCAGATTGGCCACGCTCACTGGCCATCGGGATACACAGGCATCGGGCGAATACCCACTCACATGGGCAATATTCTTGCCAGCATCGGGAAGATACATACGAACTCTCGAATCAACCATGGCCGAGGTTCGTTTGCTTGAAATGGTGGACTTTGATTCAATTGGATTGGACAAAACGGCTTCGATTTTTTTAACAAAACGTTTTAAATTGTCCAGGAGATAATTGTATATTGTTAACTAGTCTTAAAATTGTTCTCTTTAAATTTGAAATTATTATTTTTTTAATTTTATATTATTTTTTGATTCCCTCTGCTTAAAGATACCAGTTATAGTTAACGTTTTGAACTGAAGACTTATCAGTAAACTCCTTTCTCACGTTTCAACGTGCCTAAACCGTCAAACCATTTTTCTGTTTCAACGCTTTTGTCTAGCGTTTCCTTTAGGCTCTTTTCTGTTTTCAAAATTTATCGAATGGCAGGACAATGGCAAGAGTGCGGAGCGGGCAATGAAACAGAAGCGAAACACAAATAAATAAGGATAATAGCAGAGCTACAAAGAAGGAGAAGCCGACAAATGCCTACGAAAAGGGGTGGTTGTGGGTCGATGGGCTGGTTGGTGGAGTTTTCTGTGGGCGGATGGGGGCGCCTCACGAAAGGCAATTAAAAAATATTTAAACTGCCAACTGTAAGGGTCTCGGACCCGTTTCTGACTGACTGACTGGGCTGACGCCTTCGAGGCAGAGTCACTGCCCCCAAAAAGGGGGCGGGGTGTTTAAAAACGGGGGCTAAAGGAAATTTATGCATACTTTCCTCGCCTTAACTTGGCCGGATCCCTGCTCTTGTTTTTCCCTCCGAAGTATTCCTTTTGTTTTTTCCCCGCTTTATTTTTTTTTTTCCCCGCCACCAACATTTCTGCAGACCCGTAGCAAAATCAGTTTGAGTTGTGTGATTGTGTACGTGAGCATAACGGTTAAAATGGCCAAGGACGGGCCAGTCCACCCCCAATGGCCACCCCCTGTCAGAATTGATTGATTGAATTGCCACTTTATGAAATTTGTGAGTCTTCGGAGATGTGCGTGGAAATTCGTGTTCTCGTCTTCGTCTTCGTCTTCTCTTTCGCCTGCCATTTCTCTGGGGGTGGTTTCCACCCGGTGGGTGGGTGTTCGTTTTGGCTGTGCGGCTCTCGGAGGGTTGCTTCTGCTGATTTGTGTTTGTGTGCGCTTTGGCTAACAATTTGCAGCATAAAATACATAAAATTATGTGCAGCGCTGAGGCGGCCATTAAACTTGATAGATTTATGACAGACAGCAGCCAAAGCGGTATCCAAAAACAAAGCGAAAGTGTCGGGGGTGGGAGTCGTTTGGGGGGGTTGGCCCCCCAGAGTCCAACCCCCGTTAAGATATAGCTGATTAAAATTGCAAAATTGTCCAAATGAGATTTAACGGCCAACGGAGGGGGAGCAGCTCTCGCAAATGTCAACGATTTGTCTTGGAGTGCCTGACTTTGTTGGCTTAAACCTGAGGGCTTCCGATAATTCTTTTAGATGAAGTTTTTTTCCGTTTACAAAGGGAATATCTCTAATCGTATTTTAAATAATTTGAAATATCTTTAATATAAAAATGAACTTATATAAATTCAAACCTTAGTACTATAACAAGTTATGTGTTAGTTACTTTAAGTCAGCTATTGCTCTTAAGTTTTGCCCTAATAACCTCTGTTAATCCTTCCTTTGAAAACATAATTTCAATATAAAATCGATAAACTTTAATCTCTTTTTGGCCTGCCTGAGGCCCTATTCGCCCTCGCTGCCCCTCGAAAAAGGTTATGAAAAAGGATCCAATTTGAATGCAAAATAGAATGGAATAGAAGGCTTATTAGAATAAATTGCAAAAATTAAGAGCCGGCCAAGTAAATGAACCCATCCGGACAACGAATCGAGTGGAGGTGAGCGGGTTTCCACAGCCAACTCCACTTTCCCTCTGAGCTGGCAATTACAAAATGATTGAATGGTAATTTCAGCGAGAAAAGTTGGCTTCTGCCTTTTGTATTTCGGGCCTATGGGATTGTTTGGGTGCGTTTGTGTGTGACTGGCATAAATTCCCATTATTTATGGGGGGCTGTAACTGTTTGTGATATTTTATTTCGCGCAAGGATAGCGAAGGATAATTTGCGCACCCAAAACAAACAGAGCCAACCAAAACGAACCAAAAAAAAAAAAAAAAAAGCGAAACTTAACAAAGAAAAAGCGTCCTGAATGTTTGGAATTAATTGCCCAAGCTCCTCCAATCACAAACAGAAGAAGAAGCTAAGAGA